TCATTGCCTTTCCATCATTCCCCCTTTAGCAATTTTCAAGGTTAATCTAAAATCTCAATAACTTTTTCTCATTTACCTCTTCTCTGGATGGCCACAGTCTGGAAAGTTGAAATCAATCACAGTCATACAGAGCTCTTTAGATACATCCTTCCAACAAGGTTTAGTCCCAACATGACTGCATCTAGAGAAGCTGAAGGAAACTTTAGTGTTGCACTTGTTATGCTTGTGCTCGGGTTGACAGGTAGCTTTACAGGTATGCTTTCCACAGGAGAATAATAATCCACAAGGGATGGAGCAGAGCAGGGACGGATTATCCACATATCTTTCCGCATCTTTCCCTGTAGTTAGTTTCCGTGTGGAGCTGGTGGAATGATTAGGGCAGGATATTTCAAGAGAAGGTCCATTAAATTGAACCTTTTTGAGAAGACTTTCCCAACATCTCGCTCTTCTCACAGTTTCAGGGTTTCCGATAAATACAACGCAGGATTTTGCTCTAGATTGAGCCACACAACGACGAGGTAATTCGGCTAAAAATCCAACTTTACCCGCTGTATTACTCCGGACTAGAGATACAATCACAATCTTGTTTTCATCTCCCTGGAAATTATCAACAGTTGAGATATTCACGGTTTCCTCATCTCTTGTTAGGTTCTTATTATTCTTGATGACACGACGAAACTCTGATACTTGACCCAGGTACATCGTTAGAATTGTGATATCACTTGGCCTGTGTCCGAAGGTGATCAATACACTAGCAAGCCCTACAGCCATTGACACTTCAACTTTATTCGTCTTACTCCGACCAATATTCTTCGTCCGATCAATGTTCTTCTCAGTCTCGCCATCCTCAAGACTATTATGCGCCCAGAATATAGTCGAGTATTTTAGAATTTTAGGGAGTTCTATTGAACCAACTCGTGAAATATTACTCTTTAAAGTTGGATAAATGTCCAGTAAGAGCTCCGCTATATCTGACCTCATCCTGTTCTGCATCTGTAACTGGACGAAGGGGAGGTTGTTGTCCACCAGCCTTTGCATCATCGACACATCAAACCTCATCTTCTTCAGCTCATAAGTGTTTACCTGAGGTGGGAGCTGATTATGATCCCCGATCATGATCAGATGCTTGGTTTGATAGCTGAGTGCAACCAGGAGCTGAGGTTCTAATATCTCTGCTGCTTCCTCCACTAGAACTATCTCGGGTTTTAATATCTTCAACATTGAATTGTTAATGGACGCTCCCGTGATAGTGATACCTACCACCTTCATCCCGGAGATACACTCTGCTCTGTAGACAGCTTCAAGCTCTTCCTTCATCTGCATTTTCTCCTCCAGGTTCCTGATCATCTGATCCAACCTCTCACTGCTATTCTCCTGCATCTGGTAGAGAATTGTGTAGAGGAACTTGATCTTGGAGTCTGTAGAATAGGTTGAAATATCTCCGTAAAGTAGATCAACCACTATCGGACAGTTCTCAGGGAACTGGTTTATCACACACATATATTCCTGATCATCAAAAAATCGTGTTATCACTGGAGCCTCATCCGCTCTCAACCCAGACCCGGATATTCGAACCATCTCAACACGCTCTCTCTGCAGAGCAATAGCGTCGTCTTCTTCCTCTTCTTCTACATCCATGTTTTCATCCATATTGTTGTTATCAGGAGACTCTCTTCCAGCATACATCTCCTTGTAGACGTTAACTCTTTGCTTTAATAAACTCTCTTCGACCTTCTCTATGTTGGTCTTGAAACCTCTAAAAATAATTTAAGTTTTAAAGGACTGTAGCCATTATTTAAAATCATTTATAGTGTCCGATATAAAACGGTATCTGAGTGAGATATCAACGGTATTCTCCATTAGACGTCACTATCATTTTCAATTGTGGTTTTTTTATAAATATGACTATCGCATTTCTGCTGCAGATAAAATTAATTAATTAAACATCTTTCCAGCTAGGAAAACGACAATATCTTCCGTGCAATATTGATCAGATAACGTTTTAAAGGGTGAATCTTTAAAGGAGAGTTGAAATTACAACTACTGTCCATTTATTAATATAAATTGTTGTTTGTTATTATGGAATCTAGTGCTTACTTGAACATTTTGTTCTCCGGGAACCATTTCTCTAGTTTATACAAAAACATTTCGTTTATGTATTTGCAGCTTTCTTCTCTCTGATTGAACAGACCTAGAAAATAGTGAATATCATAAATATAAAGATATGACCATTTAATAATAAATCCTGTTCTTATCCGACCTTAATAAAGAAAATTAAAATTAAAATATATCTAAAGCAAATCGCTCAAATTTAAACACCGACAAACAGAACCGTTCAGAAAATTAAAAATATCATAAGTACGAATTTCCGCACTATGTACGTGTTATTAAATCGCAAATAATGTACTGAACTGAAATTGCCCAGAAGAATAAACATAATATTTTTTAAGATCTAAATATTTATTTTGTAGCAGAGATTAAGATATTACAATTGTATTACAAGTTTACAACTTTCGTAAATGGAAAAACTATATTATTTATTTTCTATATAAATGATTCATATGATAGACACAGATTAGACTTTGAATGCCAGTGCAATATTTCGCAGCTGACTCCCTCGTCATCCATTGCTGAGAAACAACAGAACTTCCTGTAGTTATTAACCAACTGATATTTAATTTGGTTGTCTACTTTTTCATATGCTCTAATTGCGTTGTGTCTAACTGGGCAAACTGTACAATCTTTTNGAGACTGAGAAGGGTTAGGGGGAGACTGAGAAGGGTTAGGGGGAGACTGAAAGGGTTAGGGGGAGACTGATAAATAAACATAATAAACATAATATTAATCTTAATAAATTCAATCTGAAAACACTAGCATTCGATTGCACGCAAGTATGTTAATAATCCGTTTTAAAATAATAAATTGTGATATCTTATTCATACTTGATCAGACAAAGATAACAAGGTATTGTTATCTTTGCATGGAGGATCACTTAAAAAAGGGCTTAAAGTCCCAAAGTGTCTTAAAGGGTTATCAAGCATATTTACTAATTCATAACTTATCTTACGCTTATAAACTCAAATTACGAACTAAGGGGTTTAAGTTAGTAACTAAATCAGATTAAACTGAATTATTGTATATCTTACCATTGCATATATCATGAAGACTTCCCCCTTGGCAGTCAAAAATTGCAGTTTTGATATTTTTCTTCAGTTTCTCCTGATTGTTCTCCTCGTGGATTAGAAAACTAACTAACTGTTCTTCATCCAAACAGTTTACAATATCGTGATGTTTAAGTCCAAGATCAGCTCCATGTTCCTGAACAGCAACCTTCAGCTCGGAACAGAGTTCTTCAATGAGCTCGTTGGTCTCCATGATATCTCTATGTGTGTTGGCAGCCTCCTTGTTTTTAGCCCGGCCTCGACCCACAACCTTGTAGATATTACAATTCTCTAGCTCTGGTTCTTTAGATCTCCCACCAATCCTTAAATATTCAAAAATACAGGGTGTCCCTATAAAAAAGCGATTGTAGCAAGATAATTTGGCATAATTCTACACGGCGTTTATTAGTAAATTATTCTTGAGTTAATCAGTCAAAACAAGATGAATTTAATTTGAAAGGACTGTTGTTAAAATTTCAAGTGATCTTTCATTTAAAAAATCCACGATTCACAACGGTACTCCTTAAACCTTTATCTTATCAATAATAGGGGAGATATCGTCGTTTTACTTCTTTACAATTTCTTCCATTATTTTTCTGAGGAAAATGTGCTCAAGTCAGTTTGCAATATGGGGTGTTTATTCAAAAACTCTATTACAAAGCAGGAACGTTTCTATATTTAAAGCTGGCTTCTGCGATAGTTATTATTAGATAATAATATCACAAACTCAGATTTTCTAACCCATATGTTTTTGCAACCTGATAGTGTAAACCTTTAATATTTAAAACTTATATTATTTGATCTAACAGAATTCATAACTTTAAATATCTAAGGTCTACGACAATGGGTAAGACTTAATAATTAGAAAATCAGAATATGAGGGAGAGACCCAATTCTTTTAAGACATTTTTTATGATTTGCAGATCTACAATACTACAGACCTGCACATTTCATCTAAACTACAGATTCCATTCTCCAGCAGTCCTTTCAGAAACTCATCCAGAGCATGGTTCTTGTAAGTGATCACAACAATGGGACGAGTCGAGGGGTTCTCCAGGTTCAACAGGATCTCTGTTAGTTTGGTTCCGAGATATGTTTTCCCAGCTCCAGGGGGGCCTTGGATTATTCCAACCTTGTTGGTCAACACGTGACGTATACCCTAGAGAGATAATAATTAATTGTATAATGGTTCCCAAGGATATATTCATTAAAGAGGCCTTCCATTTATAGAGTGGCATGTCCAATTCACCATTTGTCTGATCAGCGAGGACGGAGATATCCTTGTTTTGTATACACTGTCAAGGAGTATAATAATTCCTATCTTTAAAACTGAACAAAAAGATAAATCTAATAACTACAGACCAATTAGTATTCTACCAGCGCTAAGTAAACTTCTTGAAAAAATAGCTGCGACTCAAATGTTTAAATATCTTAACAAGTTTGAGATTTTCTATCAACATCAATATGGATTTAGACCACAACATAATACTAATCAACCTTTACTACACCTAATGAATAAAATTTACGAAAATCTTAATAAACCCCAACCAGAATTTACACTGGGAATTTTTTTAGATCTTAAGAAAGCTTTTGACTGTTGCAACTTAGATATTCTTTTAAAAAAACTAGAGTATTACGGTTTTAAAAATGTAGCTAACACATGGTTTCAAAACTATTTAGTAAATAGGACTCAATATGTTTGTATAAATGGTATTTTTTCTAAAGAAAAAACAATTTTATGTGGTGTTCCTCAGGGAAGTGTTCTTGGGCCCCTACTTTTTCTCATATACATAAACGATTTGCCTTTAGCAACGTCTTTTTTTACTAATCTATTTGCTGATGACACTAGTTTTCTAAAATCATCTCCACATATCGAAACTTTAGTAATTGATGCGAACTTTGAACTAAAAAAGGCAGCTGCATGGTTTCAGGCAAACCGTTTAACACTAAATGTTTCCAAAACAAAGTTTATGATATTTAGGAATAAAAATATGCATTTTGATCCTGAGAACTGCAAATTAAAAATTGGAAATGAGATACTAGAAAGAATAGGAACTGACTGTACAAATAAATTTTTCAAATTTGTTGGACTCAAAATTGATGAATTTTTGAATTGGGACTATCAAATTGAACATGTTTCCAATAAGATTGCTAGCTCAATTTTTGCTCTGAATCAGATTAAAAACATTTTACCGTTAAACATTCGTCTACTAGTCTATAATGCACTTGTAAGGCCACATATTGAGTATGGAATTATAACATGGGGGGGCGTAAAAAATGCTAAACTACAGAAAATCAAGTCTTTGCAAAAAAGGGCAATTAGAGCAGTAAATAATAGTTCATTTAAGGCACATTCAGATCCAATATTTTTCAGATTAGAACTCGTAAATCTTGATGATACATATAAACTAGTTGTTCTATCTTTTATACAATTTACATTGTTTTTATCTGCAATTCTCATTCGTTTATAGTGGGCCAACCAATTAAACCAACCTACTCTGGTTAGGCGGGTCCAAACTACATAGTAAATTGTGATTTTCTATTTGAATTATCTCGTGCTTTGAATAAAAATATGAAATATGAGTGTGTACTCTATCTACTAAGCTAACAAAATAAAAAATTTATCATTCTTCTTCAGCAAAAGGTTTTAAAATATCATTATGAATCGGACATGCCGCTCTAAATATGTGGGTCACTGGAGATTATACTTCGAATAAATTATTTTTAGGGATACAATTCAAACTATGGACAGGTAGGACAGGTAAGTGAGGTAGAATAGGTAGGAAAGGTAGGAAAGGTAGGACATGTAGGAAAGGTAGGACATGTAGGAAAGGTAGGAAAGGTAGGACATGTAGGAAAGGTAAGAAAGGTAGGAAAGGCAAGAAAGGTAGGAAAGATAAAAGATAGGACAGGTAGGACGGGTAGGTAGGACAGATACCTCCTTCTGTGATAAATCTAGTGTTGGAACAGTGTCCAATACATCAAGGAAGTCATGAACTGAAGCGGTTTCCTTTCCATCCTCGTCAATATCTATTCTACTGCACTCCTGCAGCCTCTGAAATAAATACATCTTCATCAATTTAATACTCTACTATACTCCTGCAGCCTCTGAAATAAACCCATCCTCATCAATATCTATTCTACTACACTCCTGCAACCTCTGAAATAAATCCATCCTCATCATTCCATGTTCTACTACACTCCTGCAACCTCTGAAATAAACCCATCCTCGTCAATATAATATTCCACTACACTCCTGCAGCCTCTGAAATAAATCCATNTCTTTTCTACTACACTCCTGCAACCTCTGAAATAAATCCATCCTCATCATTCCATGTTCTACTACACTCCTGCAACCTCTGAAATAAACCCATCCTAGTCAATATAATAATCTACTACACTCCTGCAGCCTCTGAAATAAATCCATCCTCGTCAATATAATATTCCACTACACTCCTGCAGCCTCTGAAATAAATCCATATTCATCAATATCTATTCTAATACACTCCTGCAACCTCTGAAATAAATCCGTCTTCATCAATATCTATTCTACTTCACTCCTGCAACCTCTTAAATAAATCCGTCTTCATCAATATCTATTCTCCTACACTCCTGCAGCCTCTAAAATAAATCCGTCTTCATCAATATAATATTCTACTACACTCCTGCAGCCTCTAAAATAAACCCATCCTCATCAATATCTATTCTACTGCACTCCTGCAGCCTCATCAATACATATTCTAACACACTCCTGCAACCTCTGAAATAAATCCATCCTCATTCATATCTATTCTACTACACTCCAGCAACCTCTGAAATAAATTATTAAGCATCTTAACTTTAATACTATATTCAACATTTAACTTTATTCTCTTTCTTGATCATGAGAAGAGCAACTTCTATCCAAGGTAGAAGTGACAAAGGGTTGCAAATATAAAGGTTTGTAGCAAAGAATCAATTCCTATATATTTTCTGTCCATCATGTGAGTTCATTCAAGATTAAAAAATTGTCCATATTAGATTAAACTAAATGTTTGAAGAGAAGAAGTAGACAGCTAATACATGACTCTTCTCAAATGATGAGTCTTAAATGACAACCTGCAACTTTAATTTCCATATTTCTACCTTGTATTTATGGTTCTCAGTATGTATTAAAGAAGGGACAAATCTTTTCAGGTTTATTCTGTTCCCAATAAGATATTCAGGCTCAGTAGTATCTCTTTCACACCTAACAAAATACAAATTTATATTAGAAACATATCATGGTATGCGTTAATAATAGAAAATGTTTAAGGAACCCAGTAAAAATAAAGTAAATAACCAGGTACCAAAATATACTAGTAAATCCGCCATGTGTAAAAACAGGAAGATATCGTTTGCTATCCAAAATAAGTGTTGAATTCTCTTAATTTCCTTCACAGTCCTAGCAACATAAATCCGCAACTTTTTTCTGAAAGCATCAATTTTGTAAATGATACATTTCCTTGGCTAGAAAAGTAAGAATAGCGTATTCATCCTTGATCAAGCAAAGGTTTAAAGGATTCAGCTTTGATGGAACACGCCATTTTTTTACTTTAATTATGTTTTAACAATAGAAAATAAAATAGTAAAAACATTTTTACCTGACAATAATATCTTTGAGTTCTAAACTTTTAATCTCATATTTTTGCAGAGCTGAGAGCACAGGACCAAATGACGTATAAAAGGACGGAGTCTCCGCCATCATTGCCTTTCCATCATTCCCCAGTAACCGTCTCATGATGGAGAAGGTTGAGGCCTGGTTGTGCTCTGTCAGCAGTTCCACCAGAATAATATTCTCCCTCTTCAAGGTCTCTGTGTGCCGGACGGAGACCTTGGCCCACACTGGGTCGGAGAAGTCCCCTTTGACGGTGATACACAACAGGTTTCCTGTCATTAGGTAGCGGGAGATACTCAGATCCTAGATATTTCATCTTTTACCATGTTTGCACTTTAAAGCATTTATTTGTTTGTGTTCTTACTCAACTAGTTTAGGCACCCAACTTTGCCAAACAAAAAAATGGCTGAAGTTTTAACTTTTAAACAAAGCTAGGAACAATTCCATGGTTCCCAAATACAAAAAAGGCAAATCGGTCAAGCGTTATGATCAGACATAAAACAACAACAAAAACAAACAGAGATAACTACTTTATATATATATATACTATAGACTAGCTTGTGAACCCAGCTTTATCTGGATACTATACTTATTTCGTGGTTTAACAGTTTCCCAATCAAAATCGGTTAAGGGGTTCCTGAGAGTTTTGACAAAAAAGGACAACAACAAACAGACAAACAGAGATTGCTACTCTATTTTTATTGAAAACCCAGCTTTGTCTGAAAGAAAAAAATCCCACGGTTAACCAGTCTCCCCAATCAATATTTGTGGAAGATCTATTAGGTGATTTCTGAGTTATGATCGTACAAACAAAACAAAAGAGATTACTACTTAATTTTTATAATGTATATTACTTTTAAAAGTGGTTTTTGCAAAAATACAATTATGCTTGGAGAAGAAATGAGCTAATGTTAAACCTAACCTTGACTTTCTTCAAAGGTTGTACTTTAAGGGCTAAGGATATCCTGGAGGACTTGGAGAGTGTGAGACCTCGGAATTGAACAATATTGTAAACGTTCATGTCACGGTGATCCAGCTCACCCTTCAGGAACTTCCTATGCACCAAATATTTTCTTAGTTATGACCCTTCTAAAAGGGACTGTAAATGTGATTGTAAGTGACCCTCAGAAAGGCATTTCCGATTCACAACGGTTCCCTTTGCACATATTTTGAGCAATATTGAGGAAGATAGATCGTCTAAAAAAGTGCAGAATTTTGATAATTTCATTACTTATCTCTGTAGCTTATCTAAGTTACCTTTTGTCAAGACTCAGTTTAAAAGGTAACTGTTGTAAATCAGGGATGCAATTCTCTTTAATTAAAGAGACAGTTAAAATCAGGGATGCTATTCTCTTTAATTAAAGGGACAGTTAAAATAAGGGATGCTATTCTCTTTAATTAAAGGGACAGTTAAAATCAGGGATGCTTTTCTCTTTAATTAAAGGGACAGTTAAAATCAGGGATGCTATTCTCTTTAATTAAAGGGACAGTTAAAATCAGGGATGCTATTCTCTTTAATTAAAGGGACAGTTAAAATAAGGGATACAATTCTCTTTAATTAAAGGGAAAGTTAACATCAGGGATGCACTTCTCTTAGTTAAAGGAAAAGTTAATTAAAGGGTCAGTCACTTGGAATTATGTCGACAGTACCTTTAAAGGAAACTGTGGAAAGTAAATAAAGTCTATTAAAGTGAAGTTACTTGCTCAGAGTAAAATTACAGAATTATTCAATTCAAATTTAACAAAAAAAAACATGATATCTACAAATTTATTATAAAAAATTTAAGCGAAAAAATTTTATTGTGTAATCTCTAATCATTATCATAAATATTTCTCTAAAAGATAAGACAGGTTTTTACAACAACAAAAATATAAAAACTGAATATATGACTAATTTACTTACTGTATTCCTACACAGAGTGTATTGAAACCATCCGTTCTCTGTAGTCTGGTGTAGGTCTCCATATACTCCTCTTCACTACTATACCCTACTCCAGTCCGTACTGGGAGTAATCCTGTCTAAATATTAATTATGTACTCCTCTTCACTACTATACCCTACTCCAGTCCGTACTAGGAGTAATCCTGTCTAAATATTAATCATGTACTCCTCTACACTACTGTACCTTACTCCAGTCCGTACTAGGAGTAATCATGTCTAAATAAAAATCATGTACTCCTCTACACTACTATACTGTACTCCAGTCCGTACTGGGAGTAATCTTGTCTAAATATAAGTCATATTAATCATGTACTCCTCTACACTACTATACTGTACTCCAGTCCGTACTTGGAGTAATCCTGTCTAAATAATAATCATGTACTCCTCTACACTACTAAACCCTACTCCAGTCCGTACTGGGAGTAATCCTGTCTAAATATTAATTATGTACTCCTCTACACTACTGTACCTTACTCCAGTTCGTACTAGGAGTAATCATGTCTAAATAATAATCATGTACTCCTCTACACTACTATACTGTACTCCAGTCCGTACTTGGCGTAATCCTGTCTAAATAATAATCATGTACTCCTCTACACTACTATACTGTACTCCAGTCCGTACTTGGAGTAATCCTGCCTAAATATTAATCAGGTACTCCTCTACACTACTATACCTTACTCCAGTCCGTACTAGGAGTAATCCTGTCTAAATAATAATCATGTACTCCTCTACACTACTATACTGTACTCCAGTCCGTACTGGGAGTAATCCTGTCTAAATATTAATCATATTAATCATGTACTCCTCTACACTACTATACTGTACTCCAGTCCGTCCTGTGAATTATTTTAAATATTAACTTTTGACTCAGAAATGCATTCATTTACCCTAAATATAATTTATTTACCCCCCATGAAGTAAAACATGAAACTAGGGGAAAGATTCATTTCAAGGGGTTGAAGAAAAAAAGACTTTTCAAGAAAACCTGTGTAATCAAAACTCATCTATTTTTTCTATAAGCTTTAGGAAATGATGAAAACAGTAGTAACTAACAATTTGGTAACCTGACAAAATGGGAACTAACAATTTGTTAAACTGACAAATCGGTAACTAACAATTTGGTAATCTGACAAATTGGTTTCTAACAATTTGGTAACCTGACAAATAGGTAACAAAAAATTTTGTAATTAACCTTTTGGTAGATGACAAATTTTGGTACCAACAGTTTGGTGACTAAAAATTTGGTAACCTTAATAAAAAGTTGACAATCTTGTAATAAAAAAGTTGAAAAGAAGCTCTATGTGCTAAAATGGTCAACCGTACTTTTTTTTCAGGGTGGGGTGGGGTGGGGTGGGGTGAGGTGGGGTGGGTTTGGGGGTAAATATTTTCAAAGCAAGATTCATTCCGATTTCAAGGCACATTGTTAGATGTGAAACAAAAAGAAAATAAAAATACTTCACTTTTAGCTTAGTCACCAAATTGTTAGGACGTTACCAATAAGTTAGTAACCAAATTATCGTTATTAAAAACCTTTTCATTTCTTTCACTGTAGTTTTTCAAAAATAAATGTTCATGAAAAGACTAATGGAAAGTCTCTTGAATAAAAAAATATTGTATAAACCTGAACAGATTTGTTAGAGAAGTTGACGAGCTCCTCCCTGGTTGGAATGAGAGGGAGCTCCTGGTAGTCCAGCAGGTCAACCTCGGTACCTCCGCCCATCTGCTTCAAGTAGTTCATGCTCAGGTTCTTCAACATCTTCATCATATTCTGCAGCATAGCGTGCTCAAAATAGTTTACTTCCTCCTCATCAACAGACCAAACCTGTAACATGAATATTAAATACAGGGTGTCTCACGAAACATGACAGTTGGTAAATAGTTTTGAATGTCTTCGTCCGTAGACTGTATTAGATATTTAAGAATTTATGCAGTTTATTTCGTTGAAAAAATATCTTACTCAAACATGTTTTAGTTTAAGATCAATTTTACGGAAATATGACGCCATATGATAAATTTTATTATATCATATCTGTTCGGTTCCATAGTAGTAAACCTATCGTGTAAGAATTCCCATTATTACACGGTTCAGGAGGAACAATTTTAATATTGTTCGCTTTCTAGCGTTTAAGAATGCTTATTCTTACACAGTAGGTGTAGAATTTTCATTCTTTAACGCTCAGACCGTGTAAGAATGTATATTCTTACACGGTCAGAGCGTGAAAGAATGTATATTCTTACAAGGATTGCATTTAGTCTGAACATGAGGGCCGGAGGAAATTTTTTAAATACTATGACTAAGAGGGGGGAGGGGAGGATTGCATTTAGTCTAAACATGAGGGCCGGAGGATATTTTTTAAATACTATGACTAAGATGGGGGAGGAGAGGATTGCATTTAGTCTGAACATGAGGGTCGGGTATTGGTAGATATATGGTTTAGCTGGGAAAAAAAGACTTTGAATCATTTGAATTTTAGAAAGTAAAAAGCGTTTTCTATTCAACAAAACAAAATTTGTAAGAAAGAATAAGAAAATTAAAAATTAAAATCAAAAACAATAATTTTTTCATATTTCCCTGTATTCAATGCAGTATTTCCAAAAAAAATTTAAACGTAAAAAGTCAAGATAAAATGTTCCGGCCATAAACCTACCTTGCGGCCATTTTTACCGTTTTGACGTTTATTGGAGACAAACAAATAGATATATATTAAATATGGGTTTACCTTAAGCAGTCTAATAACTTGCCCAATATGTTGGGGAACCAAATCTGTAATATTTACAAACAATTGCAGTACATGACTCTTGTCCTCATCTGTGTATAGTCTCTCCATGTACTCCTATATAAACACAAGAGTTAAATAAGAAAAAATTTCCTCCAAAAAAAGTATTTGCCTTTTTGCTATTCGGAAAAATATGTGCTCCTCAATAATAATAGCAACAAAATTAAATGATAAAACACACAAACTTAAAATATCATGAATTTATATTACTGCTTAAAAATAATACTATTATCATTATCAGCACCGCAAGGTTTGCTTCTTTAGATATGTGATGACTCACATTTACATAATAAATGTTCAATATCGAACAGATAACATTTCAATCAAAACATTGCCCAAAAATGAATCATCCTGGAGTATCAATTCAAGAAATTATCGAAGGCGGAGGTGTGGTGGAGAAGTGCTAATATTTTCAGATGGGAGGGGAGGTGGGTTGAAATGTTACTTCATTTATTATTCTTAAAGTTTTCTTCCTACCCGGCCCTATATTTTCTAAATATAGGGCCGGGTGGGAATATGATTGAGTAAAAACATATTTTACCTTGATGGGTGCATGAATATGCTTGAGTAAAAACATATTTCACCTTGATGGGTCCATGTATATGGTTGAGAAGAAACATATTTCACCTTGATGGGTCCATGAATGTGGTTGAGAAAAACATATTTTACCTTGATGGGTCCATGAATATGGTTGAGTAAAAACATATTTTACCTTGATGGGTCCATGAATATGGTTGAGAAGAAACATATTTATCTAGGAAATTACCCATGAATATTAGGAAACAAACAGCAAAAATTTCGTACACTGAAGTCTCATCCTTCCTTTCTGGGTAACCCTGTATAATATTATCTGGGTAACCCGGTATAATATTATATGGGTTACCCGGTATAATATTATCTGGGTAACCCTGTATAATATTATCTGGGTTACCCGGTATAATATTATCTTGAATTACCTAAGAACGCCCAGGCGTGAAGAGAACGCAGCATAGGTGTAAGCTCAACCTCCCTCTCACACTTCTCTAATGTGTTCTCCATGACCTCAAGCAAGGTGTTTACTTTGTAGTTTCTTCTAAATATATACATCATCTCAACCTCAGGTTTATCATGGCGTAAATGAACGGTGTACTCCAGCTCTGTTCCATTCTCCAGTCTAAAGAATCTATCCACTACGGGGAGTTTAGAGATATGCATGAATATATCATTCCCAACATGATCTTGGTTCGCGCGAACAAAATAAAAAACTTCAGGATTATTTTTTCCTTCTGATGAACCAACAATGTGACCCTTAATCCACTTTGCGTTAGTGCGATAGTTGTTTTTTTCCTCTCTGGACATTCCCCCTCTTCCTCCTCTATTCTCCCCTCTTCCTCCTCTTTCATCTCCTCTTCCCCCTCTATTCTCTCCTCTTCCTCCTCTATTCTCGCCTCTTCCTCCTCTATTGTCCCCTCTTCCTCGTCCATAATCTCTTCTCTCATTATCTCTTGTTCCGTTCTGTTTCTTCCCTTTTCCTTTCTTATATTCCCATTTTCTGTTTCTTCCACTTCTTCTGTCCAAGCTTGCTCCTCCCTCTGATGTATCTGTATCTTCTGCAAATCCATCAAAAGCCCCATTAGAATATACATCTGAAGCTCCATTAGAATATCCATCTGAAGCTCCATTTGAAGCTCCATTAGAAGCTCCCCTCGCTCCTCCTTCTGCACCTGGCATTGTGTTAAACCCAGACTTACGATTTTTCTGAAAAATAATATTAAGAAATATATAATGAGTTAAAAGTCGAGGTTTTAAGTATTACTGAGCACAATTTTATCAGCAGCCCCTTTCCAATCAATCCAATCAATATTGTTCATGCATCTTAAATGTATTTCACATGGGCACTCAGCATTGTTCATTTGAGGCCACGAGGACCCAGCCCTAAGTCTGTTCTAGCCGCGGCGCTCCAGTTCCCCCAGTATGTCCATTGTCCGAGCAACGGTGCTCCACTGCCCAGTCCAGAAAGTGTTTAAGAAATTCCCAATTATTTTAAATAAAGTAAAGACAGGGTTTAGTAATATCTCGCCCAAAAATTACGCAAAAAAAAACTTAAAATGCCACGTCTTTATACTACATTATTAAATCCTACTAAGAATGACTCGGATTGTGAATCCGATTCAATCCGTTTTTGCTTTAAATAATATTACTTGACACTTAATACAAATATTGTCAAGTAATAACTTTATAATTGTGAAAACCAGAAAACGAAAGATGTCAATTTTTAAAGTTCTACTGTGGATGTACAGTTCGTACAGTTTACGTTCAGTGAAGAACTTGTTAATCTGTGTGTTGGTTCAGGTTTAGAGAGTAACTGATGGATATTGGATGGAGTTGGTGGTGGGGGGGGGAAGATAAAGGCCCTGTCTGCCGCGGTCCTAGACAGGCAGAGGCTAATGTAAAAACATCGGGCGTGTGAGCCAGGTAAGCTTTAACTTCACTTGTATGAAGCTGTCATACTTTATCCATGGTTATACTACACACACAGTGTCAGTACACACTGCTAGTGCTTTGTGCATGTTGGAGGCACCGGACCGGTAACTCTCCCCAAACTAACACCACAGCGCCGGGTCAGTACAAAACGTTAACACCATGACATCTAATGACGGTGATTCCCCGTAGCAGGGGGAAAACTTTTCTCTGTTAACCCTATTTCAGTATTTTAGAAATATTCGAATTCAATCCTTGAACATAACTAGTCGACGACAGATCAATTATACACTTTATATATGGTATTGGATTCAGTGGTGACTTAATGGGGAGGGGAAGAGGGACGCCCCCCTCCCAAATTAGAAGAAAGAATTGCATCTTCTAGCTCTTTAATTTTACTTTTTAAGAATAGATTAAAAATTCCAGATCCACTTCATCACTCAAAATTAATTTTTTTTTTTTAAATCCCAGACTTAACACATCTACCACCAGCCACCCTAATACCCCCAAGCTCCTCTTCGTGGTTTTGACATAAAATTGACTTAATTCGATGTAAAAAAAAATCCAGGAGGAATTTTTTTAGTGGGGGGAATAAAAACTTCCTAAAATCCAAGAGGATCCGGTGGGTGCTATGGAAACGCCTCAACACGGAAACGTCTCAACGCGGAAATGCCTCAAAAACCGGTTTTGAGGAATTTCCGTTTTTTTTTGGGAAATCCCTCAAAACTGGAAAATGTTGAGGGATTTCCGAATATTTTTGAGGCGTTTCCTAATATTTAAAGTTGAGGTGTTTCCTCTTTTTTTTTGAGGCGTTTCCGTTTTTTGAAAAAACTTTTAAAACTTTATTTTGTTGAGGCGTTTCCACTTTTTTTTGAGGCGTTTCCGTTTTTTTTTGAGGC